TCTCCCTTTTATTCTATTGGCTTTTGAAAGCCAATAGAATAGACTCTCTTGAATAGAGTCTAATTCTATTGGCTTTCAAAAGCCAATAGGAATTGTCCAGGCTGTTTCTGTCCTGCTGAGCCTGCCAAAAGTCCCATTCTGCAAACGGTGCTGCACCAGTTGAGTAGTCCTCGACTTACAACCGGTTGAGTAGTCCTCGACTTACGACCGTTTGGAGGTCACGGCATTAAAAAGGTTGAGAACCACTGTTTTATCCTATCTGGTTATCAACTACTCTCTTCTCTATCTTTATCTTTTGTTCACTTCTCTTAGTTGTCTGCTTATATTCTAAGAAAGTACTCATATAACCTTTGGATTCCTTGAGGAGGAGAATAAAGTGCTGTACTAAATTTAAGGCTTAATAAACTCCAACCAGACCCATCACACTAAGGCAGATCCACTGCTGTGGACAGGGATCAAGTATTAGCAGGGAGCTTGCATGGAGCTAACAGTGGGTGATGTAATGATTTGTAATCTATATTTACCTCTCTCAGTAATATTTTTCAGTCTGTACAAGCAAATCCTTTCTGGGAATTAAAATCTGTAGCATTATCTGGGGTCTGCTCTATGCACTGCTAGAGCATTCTTTGGCTCTTCCTGTGCTTATGCCACTCTTCTATCTCCCCTCGCAACCAGAGATCCAATTTTTTGGTAGGAATAAATAAATATAGGGTATTTGGACAGACAGCATTAACTAATACTGTTTTTCTTTTTCCCCACCTCCTCAATCTAGCTTATCTTCGCTTAGAAAATGTTAAAAGGATTCTGCTGCAATCTAATTTTTTTAAAATCTCAAGAGAGATGATTGAGACTGCAACAAAGTATCCAGGTTCATTTCCCCTTGGCAATGTTTAGTCTTCCTACGGCTTTTTAAAAGTATTCTTCAAACTCCATTTCTATCAGTTTGAATTTACATACTATGTTTATACATCATGCTATGTTTTATTGAATGAATCACAACTGGTTAGGTTCTCATATAGCATCATATTTAGTGTTAGTATTGTATTAAATATTTTTAGATATCATTTCTTACACTGAAATGTTATTTATATACATAAGGCTTATTTGGGAAAGCAGTAAAATGCATGATAAGCAATATATTGAAAATATATAAAACAATACAGGTAATCCTTGAGCTGCAACCATTTGCTTACAAGTGTTTGAAGTTACAACAGGATTAAAAAAAAATGACTTACATCTGGTCCTCATATTTATAACCATTGCAGCCTTCCCTCTCCCCACACCTGTCATGTAATTAAAATTCAGGTACTTGGCAACTGGCGTGTATTTATGATAATTACAGCATCCTGTGATCACCATTTGTGGCCTCTCAGACAGTCACCAACAAGCAAAGTCAATCAGGGGAAATGGATTCACTTAACAGCTGTGATGAGTCAAATTAACAATTGTGGAGAAAGCGATCATAAGGCACAACTCAGTTAATTGCCTTGCTTGCTGGTCCCAATTGTGGTCATAAGTAAATGACTACCTGTATTCAATAAAACATTTATTAAAATGGGATGGAGAAAACATTTGACCAATATTCATATCAGGAAAGCCTGGTGTATAGGTGAGTTTTCAGTTGGTGTCTACACCAAATGATAATCGATGCTTCTAGAATTTAGGGGTGTGGTTAAAAGGATTCCAGAGTTCCAATATCACTACAAAGAGGGCTGATGTGCAGGTGTTAGAGGGCATTCAATGAATTGATTTTTGGGGGGGGGGGCAAAGGGATAGACATAGTGGAACTTCCTGCTTGTATTGTTACAACTGGATCAGGTGTATAATGGCAAAAGTAAGTGCATAACTATGACCTATAATGTTAAAACACAACTGCATTTTCACAGCTCCTGCATTTACAAGCATGCAAAGCTGAAACTAAATACCCCACCTTTTGTGTTCACAGACTTTGTTTAAGAAAGTGCTTTTGTTTTTGTTTTTGAAAATGCCATGTTTAACAGGTAGTCCTTGCTTATCAACTGCCTTTTCAGCAACAGTTCAAAGTTACACCCATGCAGAAAAAGGTGATTTATGATAGGTCATAGTTAACATTTTCTAGTCCCAACTGTGGTTGATAAATAAGAACCACCTGTAGTGGTTAAGGTTAAGGCTAAGATGAAGATAATACAGGATTAAGTCCATCTTAACTATGGAAAGTAACTCTGGGCAGCTTATACATTTAAAGTTGCTATTTTGAACTGGAAATAGGGATGCAAATCTAGCCAATAGTTACCAATATCAAGGACATCTACTACAGAATGAAGGATTCTACCAACAATTTTAATGGCTGCTGAAACACCTAGCCTAAGTTTTGGAGTTTCTTGCTTTTTTGGTCTCTGTCATGTACACCACTTACAATTACATAAAATGCAAATTCATGACTTACGAGAATAAGCCTGTTGCTTGAATTATTAATTAATTTATTTGTTAAATTTATTTGCTGCCTATCTTGCCATGGGGCTACTGTAGATGGCTTACAATAATAAAAAGAAATAAAAAAGAGTAAACAAAACAAGTAAAATAACAGAACAATAAACAATGAAAAATAAAACAAGAATACATTAATATGATAATAAAGATGGAGGGCTAGAGAGCAGAGAGCAAGGAAGAGATGTGGAGTTTGCCATCAATCCAGAACTGATGGCAGACAATTAATGAATTAAAATGAATAAATACAAATAAATTGGCATAGCTCACTGAGAAACAAACAAACTAGCCAATCACATTTAAGCTCAGTGTATTATTTGAACCCCACAAAGAATGCTTATGCTCAACTAATCCATCTCAATTGCACAGGGTACTGGGACTAGGAGCACCCATCCAGGAATTTAACAGTACAGTATTTGCCCTCTGCATTGATGTGCTAAGCTGTGTCAAGGAGCTGCAGGTAGATATCATCCAAGAGAGGATGGGTCCATCTTGGAGATCACACTATCCTCGAGACATTGGCTGATAACTAGTTTCTTTTTGCTCCTGCTTTCAATCACACCTGATTGCTGGTTCTCTGGAGAATGAACAGAACAACAGAAACTTTGTCATTTTAAATGTACACTAATCAGCATACATTAAAATGAAATTTTGTTGCATTCAGCTCTCAAAAACATACCATTATTTATATACCCCCCACACATATATAACACAATATCATAGTCTAATTTGAATATGGCAAAAAAAAAGAATCCTGCAAATTTACAAGATGGATGGCATAAGGAACAAAGCTGTTACAGAATCTATAAATACTTCAAAACCTCCTCCCAGAGGGGAGCAACCAAAACAGGCCATGAAGTGGGTGTGTGGGGTCTCTAACAATGCGTCAAACTCTAAGCACATAGAGCTTATAGGCAGTATCCTGAATAACAGGAAGTGAGCTTCCTAAAAAAAATTTCAGCTGTCCTTACTACCTGTATGGACCTTCTATCTGAGGCACTGTTACCACCAAACCAAAGAGTGATGCGGTTTGTTAAAACACTATCAATTGTGCCTCTGTAAAAAGTGGCCAGGATGAAAGGAGAAAGATGTGCTCTCCTCATTTGATGCAGGAAATGCAAACACTGGTTTGCACCCTTCACTAAATATAATGTATGAAGAGACAGATGTTGGTTATCTCCCCTCCCAGGTACTTAATACTATTGACTATCTCCACAGCTGCAAAGTGGAGTATGATACAAAGTGGATTATGACCATGCTGACTAGGTTATTTTTATTGCACCAATCCACTAAAACCTCCCTATAAGAATCTTCGTTATTATCCTGGATAAGACCCACCACTGCTGTTCATCCACATATTTCACAATAGGATTTGTAGCAGACTTAGCACAGCAGTCATGAGTCATCAAGACAAACAGTAATGGACTCAAAACACAGCCCTGTGGAAAACCTGTACTCAAAAAGATGGAATTGGAAACTTTTCTTCCAATTTGCACAAACTGGGACCTATCAATAAGGAAGTCAAGTATCCAGTTACTTAAGGAAGTATTAAAACCTAATAGGCCCAATTTGTTCACCAAATGCTGAGGAATGATTGTGTTGAAGGGAGAACTAAAATCAACAAATAGCATTCACATGTGAGCATTCTTCTCCTCTAGGTGTGCCAAACTAAGATGAAGCACATAAGAAAGTGCATCTTCTACAGAGCGGTTCTTCTGATAAGCAGACTGTAATGAGCCAAATGTAGGGGGAAGGCATGAAACAATATAGTCCTTTACCATTCTTTCAAAACACTTCATCATAATGGAAGTGAGTGCAACTGCACAGTAATCATTAAGGCATGTAATTATAGATTTTTTGGGGGGACTGGTAGTCTTAAAACATGATGGAACTATAGCCTGATGCAACAAAAGATTGAAGATGTCTGATCAGCACACCCCTTAAGTACTTGCCTAAGGATATTATCAGGACCCTTTGACGTGTTGACTTCCTTAAGATCTTCCAAACTTATATCAAACTTAAGCACTGTTCATCAGGAAGGGGAACAGTCTTTCTTGTAGGAACGTTATTTGAAGCCTCAAATCATCCAAAAAAACCACGTTGAGCTTATTTAGAAAATCAGCGTTACTCTTATGTGTCAGGGAAGCTGCCTTATAATGAGTGATAACCCGGATACCTTGCCACATGCGTCTAACAATTACAATTACAGGATTTAATATTAGGCAGTGCTATTACGAGAAGCAGTCCAGGACAAACATAGCCCGCGAAGACAGAAGATGAGCTCATGGTTAATGTTGGCTTCGTTGGTGGCATGGACTGGGGGGGAGGGGAAGGAGAAGGCGGGGATTCCCTTTTCCAGCTGGAGTAGGCAGAAAAGGGGATTCCCCCTTCCAGAATGCTCGGAAGTTCGGGATTGTTCCGAGTGACGTCACAGGAGGTTGCTCGCTGGTTGGAGAAAGAGGTGTTAGAAGAGCAGGGAGGGTCCACGAAATTACGTTCTGGGCCTCTTGAAGGCAGCGGGCATCCCTGCTTAGCCCTCTTCGGGGTGATACCCCCCCCAGCCTCTCTCTAGACCGCTCTCGGACAGGAACCCTCCTCCTCCCTTCCAGTCGCCTCTCCAGCTCCTGGTGGTGGCGGCTGTTTACTGAACTCTCGCGAGGTTTCAGCGCAGGACATCGCTGCTGCGGCTCGAAGCGGCGCCATTTTGGGATGGACTGACTGGTGCGAGGAGCTGTGAGCGCGGCGGGCGAGAAGAGGCGGCGGCAAAAGGACCTTTCAAATTCGGGGGTCCCACTTTGTCTGGGAACTTTGCCGGTAAGTGGGACCCACCCGTCAACCTCTTCTGCTCGGCGGGCCGAGGGAAAAAGTAGCATTGAAATGATGTTTGCGTGTACTGGGGGGGGGGCCGCTGGAAAGCTGTGAGGGGGAAGGCACGTCCCCAGGGAAGGCGGAGAGCTGGGTCAAAGTCCGCGGGGATGGCGACAGCCTTTCTCCTGGGAGCTGTTGCCGTCCCGAAGGCTCCTCTCTGCCCGCCCAAAACCGAAGCGTGTGGCCTTTTCGCCCCCTTCCTCTTCCTTCCGGGGCCCTCTGACCCGATGGCGCGGTTCTCTTTGGCCTTAGCCTCGTTCAGACAAAGGTCCGAAAAGCGTTTGCGAAGAAAGGGACTAGCAATGCCTCTTCTGCATAAATTTTAGGGAGCCAGGTGAGGAAACAAGGACTTGTGCTCTACTTTACCGGAATCCAGATTGGCGGTCGGAAGGGGGGGAAGCGCGCTCTCCTGGGTTCAGCAGGCGAAAGCGGCGGGCTCGGTTTTTCCCGACGTTCTTCCTCCTCTCGGGGATTTTACTTTCTTTTGCTTCGTGGAGTTGCAACCCGAGCCCTTTTGGATTTTCTCACGAAAGTAAGCTCGTGGAGGAAGGGTCTCGGGTAACCGTGTATCCCCTCTCCTCCCCCCTCCCGATCTTCCTATTGTTTGGTCTGGTTCTGCACTTTATTGGATAAAAGAACTCGATCCAAAGCCTCGTCCTTATCGGTTTTCCCGTGGCCTTTTCCCCCATGGGAGATTCTCCCCAACCTCCTTTGCTGCTGAATTCAGCACGCATGATCCGTCTTCGAGTGCCTAAACCTATCTTTTTAACGGGGAGGGAAATTTTGGATATATTTAATAGTTCATCACTTCTCGATGTTATTTAGAGAGGAAAATTGACTTACAGCGTGTTTTGTCTCTTGTGCCTCTTCTAGGTAATTCTCTAGTTTTGAACGTCGGGGTTATTTTTCATTGCCTCCGATTAAATGAGGAAAAGCTTTTTCAATTGAAAGGACAATATTTACTACCATGGAGTCGATATGTTCAGTCACTTTCCACTTCGTGTTTTTCTGAAATCTTCAGAACCTACTGTAATCCAGAAAACTTAAGAACTTTTGAAAATTTTCCCCTTTTCATTGAAGACGCCTTGGACTAATTTTTGTCCCTATGGAATGGATAATATAAACTTCTTAGGCTCTGCATATTTCTTTCAAAACTTTATTTTTCAGTTCACAGAATTCAGGAAAAATTGAGATTGACTTATTTTGCCAATTATATTTAGAAATTAGCTGTAGCTTCTAATTCTTCTCTTTTTGGTTATAGTTGATGGCAACTCTTATTTAAATTTTTAGGAGGGTTAATATTGCTGCTTGCAGTGAACCCTATTTCCTATATGAAGGCAATGGACTTTATTTTTCATTTGCATTTGTTTTTTATATAAAGAAGCATTATGGAAATATTGAGATAGCTGCTGTGTGCACATGCCTGAATTAACTCTTAGCAATGCTCCTCATTTCAGATGTGGAATTTGTTCTGTTCTTTATGTCATAAAAGGAGTATTTATTTTTTTATAGAGCTGATGCTCATTATCGTGCAAAATACATGGAATAGAAAAGTGAAGAAACTTCAGAAAACAAGCTACTAAAATCAGACTTGTTTGCTTCAAGAAATAAATTGGCCAGAGTCCTTATATATGAACAATGGGTAGCTGATTTTGGAGAGTCAGCTGTTTGCTATAGATGTAGTACCATTAAGAAGCTCAGGATATTTCAAGGGAAGAAAACCTGGAAAACAAATTGTGAGAAGTCGATGCCAATCTCTGCAGTACTCTTGGATTTTGTAAGTATTGATCCAAATACTCATTTTTGTAGACTTTAAGACCATTCATGTTGCTTGCTTGTCCTACTACAGCAACTTTTCTTTCTCAGAGGAATAGCAGTACATAATATTAAATTGAATATTTAAATATGCAGCTTGATTAATGCATGGATGTTTGAAAACAATGAATTCAAGTTGAATTTCTTATATTTTACATTTAATGTTGGTGTTCAGAAATAAGGTGTTCATATTCACATGTTCTGTTCAACTTTTTTCAAATAGGAAAAAATTTATTTCTGTTCCCTGTTTCCAACTTTTCCTTACACATGCATTTATATTGTGGCATATTAAAGTGTCTTATAATATCTAACCTGAGAAACAGGTTTAATAAAGCAAGTTATTGACATTGAAACCGGATGTTTGAAAAAGTGCAACCTTTTAAAAACTCAAGTGTGGCTGTTAAATTATATTTGTAAGTTATATTTGTAAGTTTTGTGTGTGCTAAGACCATCACTGGGATGTAATAGTAATATTAGCATAGAAACAATTTTTACTAATGTGAAAAATTGAAGCAACTGTTAGGAAGTTTTCTGCTGCTATAACAAACTTTTGCCATTGCACTCGATCCACTAGCCTTTTCTATATCAATCTAAATGTATGTCTGAACTGTAGAAAAGCTTATAGAGATCTGGAATCTTAGAACCATCTTGTTTATAGATTAGTTAATACTTGTGTTGCAGTACAGTATTTCCTATATGTGTGAGTTGTAAGACTTTACTCAACAAAGATTTGCTATTAAAACCTTTTTGCTACCTTTTTTAGATAACATTGCTGAGCCAAATGTGGAAACTTGGTTGCCTCCATAGTATTTCATTGTCTCTTCCCTATCTAGATTATATTAGTGATGGTTTCCAGAGTCTTGTAGTAAGGTTAATAATTGGTGTTGCAAAGGACCAAAGGCAAGGTGTAGAATCTTGTTGTACAAAATAGAATTAGAATTGGTTCTAATTAGAAATAGAATTAGTTCTTAGATTTTAACTGGGCTTTCAGAACATCTGTAGGCTAATTTGATATCACTGAGAACTGATAAATAGTGATTTTTAAATTTGTATTTGGTTTGTATTTCTGTTTAACAAAGCTGCACATTTAATTAGGACAGAGCACACTTGATTGTTTAATGCTTCAATGTTTTAAATCTTGCAGGTTTATTTTCAACAGAATCCAGTGCTACCTCATATAAGATGGACAAAGCAATCTAATTCAGAAGTAAGTATCATTTATTGCAGTTTGTATGGATTTCCTGTTTCTCAGTATAAATTACATATACTTAATAAAACATAGTTTGAAATATTTAAACAGTAGTTTTAAATAATTTCCTATAGTTACCAATTTAATGACTTTAAAGCCTTAAATCAGATATTAAATGTATCTTGCAAATAACTTTCTTTAGTGAGTACATAGCATTTTTTACATTCAAAGATAAATAGAATTTAAGTTGGAATTTCCTTTTTACAACTTTATACTTTCATGTTTCTGTATTGTTTAAAGCATATCTTTCCCTATATTTCTACTTCCTGACAAGTATACAATATAATTTGTGGATCTTTGGTTTTGGTTGGTATTTAGACTTTATCGAAAGGTTAGAATGGAGGACATGTATTCATATTATTTAAAATGACTATGCAGTGCTTTGGATTTGATTCCAAGGAAGCATTTCAGAGTAGTCATGTAATGCTCTGAAATGTTTAAAGCAGTTGTGTCTTTTCCCAGAGTCATGAAATAGCTTTGATGGGTAGCTGTGCAGTCTAGAAAAAAGAATAGCTGCTGGGGTATTGCAGAAAAGTATATTCATGCTTCTGAAACCTGTTTTTCAGTTTGAAGTTAAAGGGCCATGTGACCTTAATTTATTATGTGCAACTTAATAAATTAACCAAATGTATTTGGGGACTTGATCCCAAGAGATATGTATATCATTTTGCTCTCGATGTGCATTTGAAAACGCATCTCAAAATTTGAAGCTGCTTGTTATATTTTTAAATTAAAGAAATTAAATTCTTAATGGGGCATTAGTTTCAAACATTCACAGGAAAAATATAGCATTTTGACAAATTGTGGTATTTCTAATTTCCATTTTTCATGGTTCTAGAATGAAACATTTGTATGTAAAATTTGTGGCATGCTATCTTATTAGTTGCAGACAGTCCTTGCTTAACAATGTTAATTGTGACCAGAAACTGGCATTAAGAAATGCAGTCACAAATTGAAAAATCATGTGATTGTGACTTGCAACTTCCTGCTAGCTTCCCCATTGACTTTGCTTGTGGGAAGCCAGCAGGGAAGGTTGCAAATTGTACTCACATGACTACATGCAATTACAAAACAAGAAATGGTTATAACTATCACTAGTTCAGCGCCATCATGGGTTTGAATAGTTAGTGAATGTTTGATAAACAAGGACTGCCTGTATCTGTCTCAGAATTTCAGCGAATGTAAAGAAGCATGTATACAAATGTATACAAAATCTTAGGGTCTTTTTAGTTTAGTTCTGTTAGGATTCATATTTATAAATTTTTGTAGCTGAAGCAAGAAGTTAAGGATAAGACAGAACAGCAGAACATGTGGGAACACTTTTTTCAGATATATATGCTGTTGCAATTAAGAGTAGATAAGGAAACAGTGGTGAAATGAGTTGCAGTTCTTGTCAGTTGCAAACACAGTAACTTTTAATTCCATTAAAAAGACTATGAATACATTTTCCAGACCAAATCCTTTCTTGTTCATGAATTCATTGTATAGCCTTAGGCGACTATCAGCTGCCATCCCATCTGCAGTACTAGAGATAAGTCTCATTTTTCTAAAATGGCTGTGAGGATTATTAAGATAAATACTTTAAAAAGGCATAAAAACTTCAAAAAAAACCCCAGTGTTTAATATTTTATGACATTTGTATTCTATATTTTCTCCAGAATTCTCCAGAGAATCATGTCTCTATTAACAGAGTAGGAAACATGTTTTATCTGAAGTTTTATATACTAAATTTAATTGTTTGGTAAGTCTTTCAATTTGAGCTGCTCATCTCAAAGTGGATTGTTACTACTGTGTTGTTGGGTGTTTAGGTGAATGATGTCCCTATTGAAGTTTGACTGTAGGCAATATATCGACTTTTAAAGGAGGCTTTCTATATTTAGGAGTGGGGGTTGGATTGAGAAAGATTAATTAGACACAAAGAAAAAATATTCTTTAATTTTTTAAACAGCAGTAAGATTTCAAACAGATCGAGCTTTTTGAAGTGGAAAACATGAAAATGAAGTCACTAGATAGTCTTCATGTAGTTCCTCTAACCCAGGAAAAGGGTGGGGGGAATCTGCATTCAACCCTTTATTTTTTTCAAGTACTGTTAAGGGCAAGTCTTGGCTACCACAAGATAATGTATGATTTTGCTTGAGTGATAAACACGTTTTTTTTGGGGGGGTGTATATGTTTGTTTATTTATTTAGTTGTAATTGTGGAAAAAACAAAATAAATTGACAGGTTGCTCTGGTGAACATCTGGGCAGTAATTGCAGGATCCAATCTGGGTCGATCATGGTGACCAGAGGTTTTGCCTTCCGAGCTTTCAGACTTGTGCTGGAGACCATTGTCAGGGAATTTGTCTACCAGAATATGTGCTTTGAATTATTCTATGCATGGTATTTATGTGGTGCTATCCTATTGGTTGATTGGTGTGTTGATATCCAGCGATTGGCTGTTTTTTTTTTTTTTTTTGTGCTTCCAAGTCATCAGACTCCTAAATACCTGATAAGCTGGTGATAAATCACTCCTGTTGACTGGCCAGGGGCCCGTTTCTCAGGTTTCAATCATTTCCCTGGCTATGTTTGTATCTGCATGGCCAACAATCTTAGCAGCTGTGAAATTGAATGCATGTCCTTGTTTATTGCAATGAGAGGCTACCAATGAGTTTGGTTCTTGCTCTCTGACTGCTTGCTTGTATTCTTGCAATCTGGTGGTTAGCTTCCTCCCTGTCCTACATAGTCACAGGGGTTAGATTACATTAGAAATACCTTTCACCTCCAAGAGATCTTTGCAGTGCATGATTTGCCTTGTATGATAGCCTCTGTGTGATGTGCAGTGCCCACTTGCAGATGTCGGAAACTGCATTCCACTGCTTCTGAAATATTTTTGATGTGTGGCAGGATGTGCCATATAGTTGGTGTTATACCTTCTTCATTTCTGTTCCTTGTGTGTTGTTAGGCAACTTGTAATAAATGCTTATGGCTACCCATTTTGCCTGAATTATCCATGTAAGTATCTTCTCTTCAGTTGGGTAGTACAGTGGGTTCTCACTCTGCCATATAATGTTCTGATGCACCTTTTTTGGGTGACAGTGGATGATTACTGTTGAAACTAAGAATGTGTTTCAGTAATTTTGTAATTGGGGTTTGTTTCATTAATTTCTTATTAAAAAGAAAGTATTTATAAAAAAAGGTCATTTTAGGTTACATGTAAAGAACCTGGTAGATTTGAATAGAATGCCAGATCTTCAGCTTCATAGAGTCTTTCATTAAAATATTAAAATAGACACACAAAAATAGTCTAGTCTAGTGGGGTAAACTGTGATATACGTGAGGTTTTATAAGTAATTTAGAGGTCATCATTGAATTATTGGCATTCCTCACTGCCCTTTTCTCTTTGTTCTGCCCAATCCATTGCATTTAGGTCGTGAATGGTACCACACTATGTTGTCCATTCCCTGAGTTAGCAACCTATGATGTTTGAGATACACGTGTATGTATTGTTTAAATATACTCCTAATATTCAACTTAGTTTTTGCAGAATGTTTGTTAAATAATACTTAGTAATACATTATTTAACCGAGATGATTTAGTGCAGTGTTTCTCAACCTTGACAATTTTAAGGCATGTGGACTTCAACTCCCAGAATTCCACAGCCAGCAGTGCTGGCTGTGGAATTCTGGGAGTTGAAGTCTACATGCCTTAAAATTGTCAAGGTTGAGAAACACTGGTTTAGTGGTTAAAGAAGCTGAGCTTGTCAGCTGCTGACAGCCTGGATTCGAGACCCAAGCTCTGTGCAATTGGATGAGCTCCCTTTACTTGCCCCAGCTCCTGCCCACCAAGCAGTTCGAAAACATGCAAATGCAAGTAGATTAATAGGTACAACTTTGGTGGGAAGGTAACAGTAACAAAAGAGATAAAAGAAAAGGAAGACACAGAGTACTGTCTAATATGGAATAAGTGGTATGACTGGTTAGAAACTAAAAATAATAAAGGAGAATAAATGTGGAAAGTCAAAAGTGGAAAATGTGTGTATAATAATATATAGCAATAATAATATGTATTATTTTTAGTATGAGGTATAGTATGAAAGAAGAAAAATGTAAACAAACAACGGACAACAAGGACAAATATTTCTAAAGAGGAATAAGGGGGGAAAATGTAAATAATAGATTACTGTTACAAAATTGCTGTTAAAAAAGTATACGCTGTGTGTGCATGTGTGTTATGCTTTGTTTAAATTTTTTTTTTTTAAAAAAACTGTTCTGTACATTTTTGGCATAAAGCCATGCTAGCCACATGACCATGAAAATTGTCTTTGGACAATGCTGGCTCCCTCAGCCAAGAAATGGAGATGAGCACCATGCCCTGGAGTCGGTCATGACTGACAGGGAAACCTTTACCTTAGTGATGTGCACTTGATGTTGTTGGAAGCCCCAAAATGTTTGGATTATTTTTCTGGAGTGTGCTGATTTGGTTATCTTTTGGGAGGGTTTTTCCAATAATTAAATAATAAATATTCTTGGGCGAAGCAATGTACAGATAGTTCTTGGTTAACAATTCATTCAGTGACCATTTAAAGTTACAGTGGTGCCAAACAAATGGTAGTTATGCCCTGGTCTATGAAGTTATGGCTGTTGTAACACTCCCACAATCACACAATCAACATTTGGGTGCTGTGCACTTATGATAACTTGCACTTATGATTGCAATGATTGCAGGGGCACTTCCACTCCCCTCTCTTCACCCACCTATCTCTTGCCCATATCTGACCTTTTGGCCTCCCTGTGCTCCAGTTGCCCTCCTGCACAGCTGGCCTTTTTGCTCCCAGCTGACCTTTGCGACTTTCTTCCTCCCGTGTCCAACCTGGTCCTTCATGAGGCAAACTATTACGATATAATGGTTGCAAGAATCTACTTACTGCAAGCTTTATGAAAATAATGTGTTGACTGTTCAGATTCAGCATAGGTTATCA